AAATCAACTTTAATGCTAATTAGCTTGATGAAGTGTGTTTCTTTCAAATTTGAGCTACCCTGTGCAGGGCCCTAGGAACAAGACTGCCACAAAATGTTTGTGCTCATTGTTTAATATTTGTAGACAAATAACAATCTCTTATTAAAACATTTGTAGCACAGAACCGGAAATGGTCTAGAACCGGAACCTTATATTAGCACAGAACCGGAAGCATTTAATACAATACGGTTTTTTTTTAATTGAAATAATATTATACAAATTATTTAAAATCAATTTATTAAAAATGCCATCAGTAATTAATATAAATAATATAATATTGTGGCAGGGTACGAATTTTGTGAGCCCATGTTTTGCCTCTTCAGCCCTGTAGATGGCAGTGCTCCATTAACTTTCACGCAGGAAAAGAGAGGCACTCGCTGGGGAGCCCAAGCTCGACTTCAGTCTGTTTTATAAGCAGAAACCTAATTATACACATTCCTTCTGAAACCACAGCTCTTGACACATTAATGTATCATCAAAATATTTTTCGCTCATTAATATGACTTGTTTGTGCTACTGCTTACTAATATCTTGCGTTGTTAACATGCCTATTAGAAAAGGCATTTGGAGTAAATCAGATTTAACATGAGGCAAAACTCATTTCTCAAATAGGCTGTGACTGTATAGGTGCTGTGCGGCACAAACAACTTCAAACCGCATCAGCGTGACAAATGAGAGGCTAAATCAGAACACACTTCGTCTGAGGTGAATTTTGTGCTGCTTTTGTGCTGCTTTCAAAGCAGCTAACGACTATTACTTAACTAAGGGTTTGTTGTGGTTTTGACATCTTCCATTGGTAACGACTATATAGCAGCCCAGTGCCAGGAGAGATGAAGACGAAAAATGAAAAATCCGTTAAAATGGGCGGGAAACGAGAGAAAAAAGGTAATAAAACGGGTTCGTGAAATATGAAACATTTTTATTTTTCTTTATTTTGAAAATAGTTTTTAAACAACGTCCATGCAAAAATTCTTATTGTTGTCATAATTAATAATGTGATATTATATTTAGGATGAACGAGTGTGAACCAAGGACTGATGTACATATATTGTCAGGTCCAATCCAATAATTATACAAAACAGATGCTAACAATCATCCCTGTCACATATAGGTTGAAATCCTGTCATGAACGGAAACAGAAACAGCTGTGTAAGAGCCACACAATTGGGCGAAGTACAGCCCAACTCTCAAGGAGGTAAGGTTGAGAAAGACAACTTCTTGTCATTACTATATAAATTATAATGATTTTAAAGTAAGCTAAATTTGTTGGATTGTTATATTTACTTTTTTTAGAGGACTTGGGTGACATAATAAAATCAATTACATTGAGCACGGACAAAGCATGGACATGTTAGTCCACATTAGACTAAAACACGAGTCTCTGGTCGATTTTTTGGAGTTGTGGAAAAACAGCAGAAAATGTGCTGTCAGATAGTGTATTTACAGCGCCATTTACAGTATATGTGTATGATTGTGTATCTGTGCGTGTGTGATGTGGTGGAACAGAAATCCCACTGTGCTAAATGACCTGTGACTGAAGTCTTCCATCTCAACCCTATGATTCACACTGAGCCCCACGTCACCCTACACACACATGCTCAAATGAAGTTGGCTTCCTACTGAATCCATTCCAATTCTGTGCCCATGAAAGTGTATGGAAACTGAGCACAAATCAGTGCAGTAGCATCATGCAAAATCTTTTCAACGCATACAATTGGATGCCTACCTTAGACCCTCGAGGAAGTATTATTCTATTTAATATATTTATTTAATATACCGGTATATATATGTATTTTGTTTCATTGATATAGATGATACAGTGAAAGCAATGGGAAGCTTACACTCTAAATAAGATTCTCTAAGAGGCTCTTAGGCTCGCAATAAAAGGGGGACCTGTTTTGGTGCCATTTAACGCTTATCTTCAAAGGTGCTATTTAGAACCAACCATCAAAGGTGTTATTTAGCTCTAACATTCAAAAGTGATATTTAGAACCAATCACCAGCGAAAACCGGTGAAGAACCAAAAAGAGCTTTAGTGGTTCTTTAAAGCAAAAAGGTGCTATATAGCATAGTCAAACCTGCAAAGAACTGGTGAAGAACCAAAAAGAGCTTAAGGGGTTCTTTATAGCAAAAAGAGACTATATAGCACCTACAAACTTGCAAAGAACCAGTGAAGAAACAAAAAGAGCTTATGAGGTCCTTTAAAGTGAAAAGATGCTATATAGCACCCTCAAACCTGCAAAGAACCTGCAAGAACCACTGAAGAACCTTTTTTTTAAGAGTGTTAAAGAAAGAGTCAGAAACACGACTTTCAATTGGTTCATTTTCATTGATACTACAGCACACAACATTGGAAAATACTCAATTCCCTCATTCACATCAACTTCAATATTCTTGCCAAAGTGTGCTTTATTAAGCCTGGCTTCACTTTTGCTTTAAACAGCAACATGTTTTCCACTCAGTACCCTTTTTCACCATCTGCTAAATCATTGGGGGAAAAGTTGGGAATTAACAAGTTTCCACATGTTGCAGGTGAAAGTGGCACAGTTTTTAATTATACCTGGACTCAACTAATTCCAAATACTTAATAAAACAAATGGCAAATCAGCTCCTGACTGTTCCCTGGATAATTGGGACTCTGAGTTTCTTTAGCGTCTGCTACATTAATTAACGCCGCAATGAACTCAGCCACAATATGTTCTGTATTTGTTCAAATTGATTCCCCTGGTAGCGTCTGTGAAAGGTGGGAAAGCGCAGGACGATGAGGCTCCAGCCTGAGCTTCATTAGTTAGCTCACGAGCCACTCGGCTTTGCACTGAGCTCCGTGGCTTACATGTATGAGCTGGATAGCATAGAGTAAAGCACGCTTTCCTGACTGGATTACTTGGCAGAGCTAATGTCCTGATAAAAGAGAAGCCAGGCGATTTGGATTAGGAGCCTTTGTTTTTGCTTTCCAGGACAAAGTTATACACACATAACCAGTTTATGGTATAGTTATATAAGATGCTTTTCATTATGGGTCCATCCAGTGAGTTTCGGATTAAATCTGGCCTTTAGAATTTAAACTACAACTGTATCCTTATTGTGAAAAGGTAAAATGCATTCTAATCTTAACATACAATCACACACAAAAAAAAAACAGGTACTAGCAGGTGGACAAAAATCTGATTTATTTTAAATCTCACCATTTTGAAAAGTAAATTAATGTAAACAGAGTAAACATTGCTATAATAGGAAGTCAGTGATCAGATCCTTGAAAGCCCTGCGGTGTTCAGGATGAAGTGGTTAGAAGAATATTTACCCATCCCCCTTTCTTTTCCCTGTTTTTCTCACTCTCTTTCTTAATCAAGCAATTTTATCGTCCCTCCTCCATTCCCTCTCTCTTTTTCTCTCTCACCACACACACACACCTAGAATAATTATCTCGATCTGTGGCAGAGAGTGTCCTTCCGTCTACAAGCAATATGTACATTAATGGCCTCCCCGTCCCTCCTATGGAGGTTCTACTTTTTTGGGATTCATTTCAGCTCGCTATTCTTTCTGGTTTTCTGTGAGAGGATTGCTCTGAGAAACCCGTTGTCCTCCCACACACAAAATCTCCTGTTTTTACCCATGTGTGTCACAATACAAGATAATGGTTAAGAGACAGGGTTTCAGAAATGAATGGGTTTACATTCCATAAACACGTTAAAATGAGTTCTCTTTGTGTGCGTGTATGCGTCTGTATAGGGAAATGCGACAGAAAGGGTATGTGAAACAGAAAATAAAGAGGTTGAGAGCGAGGGAAAGAGAGAAGGGCTACTTTGTGTCTGAGGGTGTTCTTTAGCTTTGTGTTTTCAACATTTTGCCAATGTGGTTTCCTTATTTTTAAATATAACGTTGAGCCGCCAACAGACTTTCATTCACAGATGTGTGATTATTGCTGATTTTCATTGATATTAGGCCTTCCTCTCCTGTAATTCTTTTAAATGTATTCACTTTATTCATTCATGCATCATCATATACTACTGAAATGGTGGACAACACCAAGAACATAGGATGAACTCTGTTGAATGCAATAATATATGATTACTAATGAGAGATAATTGGCAATGACAGCCGTAATGACTGTACTGCCACTAAGAGGTTTTACTTTAATTTGTTCTCACCAAACCTTGAAAACTTTCAGTAATGGAGTTAATCTCCAGAATGAGTGGGGCTATGTATTATGTCTCAATGAAGACTGATTTGAGACGCTATGATCTGAGATAATGTTGTTGGTTTTTTTTTTTTTTACTCTAAATTGAATTTAACAAACATGTCTGACCATTCAACTCAGACCTCAGGCGTCAAAAAGGCATTTGCACCTACAGACTCACTGGACTCTGATCATTCTCTATAAATCCTAGATATGGTTATGCATGAAATCCCAGTTGATCATCAGTTTCTGAAATGCTCAGACCAGTCTGTCTTGCAAAAACAACCACGCCATGTTCGAAGTCATTTAAATGACCTTTCTTTCCCATTCAGATGCAGATCGCCTTGGTGTACATGTGTAAATGAATTGAGTTTCTGCCATGTTATTGGCTGATTGTAAATTTGCATTAACGAGCAGTTGGGCAGGTGTACCTAATAAAGTGGGCGGTGAGTGTAGTTTTTTCGAACAGCTAATAACTGGATTTTACCGGGCAGCTAGCATGTGAGCAGACGAGGTGGCAGAAAGTAAACAAAATTGTAAAGACTTTAAATCAAATGTATTTACAAACTTAAAAGAAAGCAATGCTTAATACAAGGCATTTTCATAAAGTTGTGAAGCTATTTTGCTGCTGAATTTGATTAATAAACTTGATTATTTTTACCGTTGAGAAAATTTTTTTACGTGTGGCAATGAAATTGAGGGTTTTACAGAGATTTAACATAAACCTCTGAACTTCAGTCTGTATTTGAACACTTATGTTTAGCATGGTTGGTAAGGAAAAAATAGGTTTGACTGAGATTTGATCTCAGATCTCTAGACTTAAAGTCTAGAGTGCTAACCATTAGGCTACACTAAAGAGCCACATAAGGCAGAAAGTAACACCGTTGAGTTGGTGGACCATCTCAACCAGCTTTAAACACCTAAACATACTTTTTTTTTTAATTTGTAACTGTGTCACAGTTGGATAAAACTCTGACCATTTTGAATGTGTTTTATGTTAATCTGTGAAGTGTTTGTTGTGCTATATGTTTGTGTTTATGTTCAGTTTACAAACATACATTGAAATAAATACTCACACAGTCACTTTGCACAACATTTAATGGAAAACACACTGCACTTACCATTTTTCATTTTCAGAACCAAACCTGTTCATTTCAAAACCCGGTCATTTTATACTCAATCTTTACCATGCCATACTGTTCCACCATCTTGGATGATGACATCATCAAGGTCACAAAAACATTTTTCTGTTAACTGGTTTGTTTTGCAATGTTTTGTCTAAATAAGTGTATTTTGAGTTTGTATGTGCTTTACTGTTTTTATTCATTTTTGCTCTGTTTGTGCTCATAGCAGTGAAATATTTCCACCACATGAAATTATGAAATGGTATGATCCAGGGGCGGAGCCTGCAACATATAAGGGCTCCCAGACTTCCATTTTGTGTGGGTTGTTGTAGGAGTATGGTGTGTCGGTGTCATCAAATGCAAGTAGCTATAAATATTGTCGTGTCTTTATTGTTTTGGATGTTTTTTTCTGGGGAGTTTTTTTTCTGGGATTTTTGCACCAATAAAAAACTAAATTTTTGTTACATCTGCAAAGTTTTTGTTGTTTTTGTCACTCGAGCCTCCCACCGTCAGGCTAACTCCTAACAAACTGCATTTAACCATTACACCATAGAAGCGCACATGTAGCTTGAAGGTGCAATTGGGTTGGTGGGCCAATACAGTGTGAACTGTCAGGGCCTTTAGCAGTTGGATGCAAGAGATGCATTTAATCCCATTATTTTCTATGTCTTGTGGAAATCTGGTGACATTTACCCTCTATGTTCCTGGATCATCTCTCACAAGATGGATTGGCTTGATGGATACGATCAAGCCATTCCCACAACAGCTCATTGGGGTTCAGATTCTTCCCACCCGTTTAGAACCCCTGGTGTATTATCCTGATGTTGGTGGCATTGGCAAGAAATTCCAAATTGGTTTCAAATCTGCATCTGGCATCACTGAGAATGGATGAAAATAAGCGTTAAACAGGAGACACTCATTATAACACTCCTGTTCTCGAACACACAGCTTCTCTCCTGACATACAGTATGTGTGAGGCATATGCTACACAAACATTGTCAGTGTACCACCATTCAATTAGTAAACAACAAAAGTCAGTTTGGTCAATAAATGGTCTGTGGGTGTGCCCTAGAACACAGAAAAAGCCTTCCACCTTCCCCCAGGAGCTCCTAGCTCCTTTTGTACGTGTTTTGTGAAAAACCCTCAATAAATAACTACTCTTTAATGAGCCTCTTTTTTGGCTGCGACGCACTTTCTGAGATTTGCAGCCAAATGTCTTTTGTTATTTACAGCAGCTATTTTCATGCACTCCTGGCGTTGTCGATGTAAAATAACAGTAATTGCTGGATCGTTTGCAGGTTGTTTAGCTTGTGTACCGAGCCAGATGAGAACAGTTAATGAGCACAGCTTCCAGCGGCAATTAGTGAAGCAGTCGTGTACATCACAGATGATTTGCAATTAGCTAGCTACATATTATATACACTATGCCAGGAGTGCAGTAGACACTTCAGTGAGTGTTTGTTTGAGGGGGTGCAAGGGAGAGATGCAAGGGGACACAGTATGAGATGCAAGCAAATGTTCACACCTATAGTTCTCATGAGAGACCTGTGCTTGAGATGATTAGGACCCTCCTTCTTTACTCCACTTTATATTATGTTAATTAGCTTAAAGCGGCAGTGTATATGAAAAAATATGATCTACCAGCAGTGTATCTTTAGTCGGTTCTATAGTGGATCTATATTTGTGCTCCAATAGAAACCGTGTGCTCATCATATCAAAATACCCGTGTGTTAACGGTTTATAATAGTGGCATTCATAGGAGGGGGCAGGAAATCTCTTTGGAGGCTGTTTCTTGCGTGACATCATCCTGGTAAAACTGTCAGGTCCTCTGACAGACACGCCAGATGGCTCTGTGTATGGGTGTGTGTGGATTGTTTCATTGTTTTTACACTCCGGGATAGCAGCAATGTTGACACCTTTTAGCTGCTAAAATTCAAACCTTAAAACATCAATGTTTTATTCAGCAAATATAATTTGCATTTAACTGCTTATGGGCGTCTGAAAAGCCGGATTGGTCATCGGTGTTTGCTGCAAGCGTGTAACATGTATTTTCAGTGTTACTACTGAGGCACAGAGTGAATTATCATTGCCATGTTTATTTATTCCACATTCTACTGCGATCTGACCTCATGAAGTTTCTTTAGAAGCTTGAAGGTTATTCTTTGTGAAAGCTGTGCATTTCTTTTCCAATTTACTATACAGTATAATGCTCACTGAGATGAAAATAATAATAAGGTCAGGCATCTTTTTTCTACAGATATATTTTCACACATACAGTGTTGTAAGCGGCATGTTTTGTCCTGATTTGCGACAGAAAACATGTTGCTGTTTTTTTGCCTGCTGGGAAAGGGGTTAGGATTAGGGATTGGGATAAGGCTTCGTATCTCTCTGACAGGACCTGTCAAAATGGCTAGCGGGTGACGGATTCTTGGAAAGATTCTCACAAGTTGGGATTAATTAGACCACAAAACATGAAACTGCAATGTGTACCACATGCATGAGGGAGAGCTAAATAAATAGTTTAAATAGGAATTTCAAAAGCTGTAACATAGCACAGACTGGACCTAGTCACACATTAAGTGCCAGTGAATTCATATTGTGAATAATGCATTAGTTTCTCGGTGGGCGTATCTGTCCAGTCTATAAATCTGTGCTGTGCTTGTTCAGCTAAGTCATTTCCCACATTAAATAAATCACTTAATGTTATGTTTGTTTTTTAAAAACACTACATTAAAGTTTTAGATGCCAAAAAGGTTTTTTTTGTAGTAGAGAGGTAATTTAACTTTTGAAAGTTATGGACTAAATTAGCCTTCACGCAAATAATATCATTCTCCATGGAAAAAAGTTGTACATTTATATTAAAAAGTAAATACATGAAAAAGACTATTAGAGTTGGATTTTCAAATTAGTTTAGTCTAAAGATAAATTTTATTTTTAACACTTATCAGATACAAAATGTATCACATACAAAAATAATCTGAGTCCAAAGATTCTGTTGGAAAAACGAGACAGTGTAAGCAGAAATAGCATTGGCGTTGCTATAACCAAATCTTATTTTTAAACCAAAAGCTGGAAAACGACAGTATACTTTCCGCCACTGAAAGTTCATGAAAACGTATTTCGGAGTTCAGAGGTATTTTAACTTTTAAAGAACATTTTAAGTGACATTTGTATAAAGAATTTCAGGAGGAAACAATCAGGGTTGATATATAAGCTAGCCTTACCTAACCTCTAGGTGACGTTGTCCAAGCTTCACCCTGCTCCCTCCCCTGAACTCCTCACTCCATCTCCGGACAGCCTGCCTTGTACGTTAGTACTCGCCACTTCATGCTCTTACAACAGGGCAGGCCTTGGTGGTGAACTCATGAACTACCAGAAAGTGTGTTCCAAAAATGAGACACTAAAGTAGCCATCACACAACTAATATTAGTCTTCGAGGAAACAAAAACGTATGCGCATAAGTTTTCTTTGTATTTAGTCATTAGTCATGTTACTTTATTAGCACTTCTAGTAATTTTCAAATATAATCGTTTTAGAAGCAGTGCTGAATTTTTGGAGATTAACAAAAACAATTTGCAGGGAACTTGTGAAGAAACACCAATAAGCCACATTTCTGTTTAAACACCTTTAAAAGTGTCAGATCTGAGGTGCCCATTAAAAGAAATAATTGACTGTCATAAAACAAATCCAGCATCTTTGCAAACCAGCACAATCTGTTTCGCAAAGGACAACAAACAGAAACCAATTAGCAAAAACACAAGTTAGTTTGAACATAAAAATCCAGCATTTTTTTCCAAACCCAACTGCAAATCATCCTGGATGATGATGTCCACCCGAATGCATTTATTTGTTAACAAACCCCTGTAATTTATCCTTAAATTGACCCTTTAAAGTCGTTTCTGTTGGTTTGCTAGAGGAAAGGCTGCATTTTAATGCTCAAATGGAATTATTTGTAATTAGTTTGCTTGCGGGTAAAGTTATTCATTGCAAAGCAGATTATGTTTAAAGAAATACTTGATTTATTTGTAAAATTGGCACAAAATGTTCTAGATATATTTCTCTTTACATTTCTGATTGTTTTAGCATAATATCAGTTTTTATAGTTTATTATTTATTAGATGTGTTTACTAATGTGTTTGCTTAGATCTTTATCCAGAAACATTATGCAATGACTCGTAAGCTGCTATCTCCACATCCCAGGTTATCAACATTTACCATATTTAGATTTACATCATTAATGAAACACATTCGCAGGCAGCACTGTATGTAAATAACTGACATGATTACAACACCCTCGCAAGAGAAAATGATTCTTCGTTATGTTGGCCCGGGCTTATTTTTGATACTTAACTGCGAAATTGAAAAGCAAACATCAGAAAACATATTGCAACACTGCTGGAGGTGGTCCCTCAGCAACCCAAATAAAAAACAACAAAGTGCACCTTTAATTATTTTGTGTCTCCCAATAACAACTTTAATTGGCTTGTCGAGGCAAGCAGGGACTGCAGAGCCCTAGTCTGAGATCAGTTGGGACTTGACAGGGAAGGATACTGTCCCCTAATGGCTCACATCACTTGTTCTATAGTCACAAGCCACTAATGACTCATTGCCAGGCATCTCGTTAGCACAGGGCACCGGGGCAGACCTCCACAGCCCCTCCCTCCGCGCCCAGTCGCAGGAGACAAGCATAATTAGGTTCAGGGTGTGGCTGGATTTTGGGCGGATGGTGGTCACTGT